TGTATTACTTCTGAAGATGCTTTTCCTATATGACGCGGCGGTGCATTCAAGATGTGGAATCGCTGGAGTCATCAATGGGAGCTCTGTCTTCTTTGGCATGGAAAGTCCAGGAGACCCTGAGCTCATAGGGAAGGATTTTTCTCAGAATCAAAAGAAGGACTTGAGTGCTGAGGATCTTGTGGATGGTTCTCAGGAAGGGAACCCAAGTCCCACTTCCTGGAGTTGGCCAGAAGTGGAATGTTTTTGTGAGCGTTATGAGATGCACGCTGCACATTTTGATCAGGGAGCATTGGGACATGCTCTGGTGAAGCCTACGACTTTCCTGGTGTCTGATGGAGAACTATGGGAATTGTTGGAACAAGTTCGCGTGGTGGTTGTCGGCAATGGGTCGATCGCACGCAACCCGCGCTTCTTCTTGGTCCATGCGATGACCTTCCTGGTGGCTATTGGGTGGAAGTGCAAGGGACTGCAAAAGATCCGGATGAACTGGTGTTGTTTCCCTGCACTACAATCTTTTCAAATATTAAGGAGCCGCCGGTTTTAGAGCTTGAGGGGGTGGTGGAAGAACAGGAGCCTTCGCCTCCGGAACAAAGGGTTCGAGGGAAGCGGCCGGCTCTGGGCCTCGTTGGAGACCAGAAGGCGTTGACGAGTTTAAAGGCCGAAGACGCTATGCCTCACCGACGTCGACTGTCTTCGAAAAGTCCAGCCTCGTCACTGCGTGTTCGTGTGGGCTCCTTGCGCTGCTTCGCAAGCGGGGGGAAGAGTCCGCCCGTAGAAATTTTCGAGGAAGACATGCAGGGACTGGGGAAGCTGGAAGAATATGTCAAGGACAATGTTCCTGGTGATAAATATTGGCCAACTTGTTGTTCTCCTCCTGAAGATTCGTATCTGGTCCAAAGATTGGTGACTGCAGAGGTTGGAAAAAGAAGAGCAAAAGGCCAAAATGATGTATGAAGGGTCTATGTATGACTATGTGGACTGTGAAGAGCTCTTGGAAGGGATGTTTACCGAAGAGGTGGTGTCAATAATTGGTGTCTGAGTACGAGAGCCTTGGCGCTGGGCCACTATACTCATGGAGGAGTGTGTGGTATTACAGAAGAAGAAGACCGTGGCTGTGTCGATACTTGGCATCCTTCGTGAAAAAACACGATCCTGAGGCCAAGTTTTCCGCTCTTCAGATCTCATGCAATGCTCCGGTATCATTGCATAGAGATAGTCACAATGCGAAGCATTGCTGCAACTACGTATGTGGCTTTGGTGCCTATAAAAATGGTCAGCTGTGGATTGAGGATGAGAAGGTTTTGGAGGAAGGGACTGAAGTGGTGGAACAATCCTATGGGAAGAAAGTCTTGCCTGGAAAATTGGTGGATGTTCGCTGGAACTTCACGCCGTTCTTTCCGAGAAAATTGCATGGTCCTCTGCCTTGGGAAGGGAACAGGGTATCCTTGACCGGGTACACGCCTGTGTTAATGGAGCGATTGAGCTACAAGGATAGGTGCTTCCTTCTCCAATGTAAGTTTCCTCTCCAAGAACCACAAGCTGAAGAAGGAGAAAAAGGGAAGCGGCTGAAGGTGACGCTGAAAGAGACCTCACTTGGCGACATTGCAGATGAGGCCGACTATGCTGTTTTGGAGGCGCAACAATGGGCTCTGGGGGAGCATTTGAGTATTCGACGCCTGATTGCTGAACAGGAAAGTTGTGTCTTGGCGCAATTCCATAAATCGGCCAATGAGTCGAATGAAGAGAAAGGATCAGAGACTGGAGACTGGCTGGTTAGAGCAAAAAGAGTGGAGGAACAGCTAGCAAAGTTTTTGGTCAAGGCGGCACAAGTTCAGCAGATGGCGCAGGAGAACACAGCGCTTGAAGCGGCGGAGGAGGTCGAGTTCTTACAAACCAAAACTATCCCAACACAAGAAGCAATGCAGGAGCTTGAAAAGTGGAGGGAACCGTTGTCAGACGAGGTGGCGTCATTAGTCAAAGAGTTGGAGGTGGTGGAACCAACAACTCAAGAAAAGCTGGGCAAATTGGCTGAAGAACCTAATGCACTGCCCAGTCTGGCGACGTTTACCAGAAAACAAGGAACTGGAAGAAGACGTGCTCGTATCTGTGCATGTTCGGCACTCGCTGTATGCTCCTGGTTGGACTCTACAACCTTTCGGTGCCAGGTAAGGCACGCTGCTTGTATGGTGTGGATCATCGCTGGGGTGGACATATCCAAGGCTTTCCTGACGTGGGTTGGCAGAAAGTCCTGCAGCTTGGGTGGAGTGGCGAGATCAGCGTCCTCAAGGTATGTCTTGGGTGTCAGGAAACGGGCAAACAATGAAGTTTCAGAGGTCCAATGCTGACCCAAGTCTGTTTCTAATTATGGCCCAGGAGAAGCCGGAAGGTGCAAGTGAGTTGGTAGGGACCATGGGTCTTTACGTGGATGATTTCTTGTTTGGCCGGGAACATGACAGTGATCCGGGAAGCACTGGAGCAGATCAGGAAGGAGTGGAAAACCTCAGAACCTGAATTCTGCGGTCCAGGCTGTGGTGATGGATTCCTGAAGTTTTTGGGTGTCCAGATTTGAGGGCGGCTCAAGGGGCCGTGGGGGAGTTCCTCTGGGTGGCAATTAAAGCAAGGCCTGATTTGGCGTTCTGTACAAGCCAGCTGTCATTGTGGACTTCTCGAAGGCCGAAATTCGCGGTGAAGAAAGTGGAAGAGGTCTTCAGGTATCTTGCTGCGACCCCAACGTTGGGGATAACTGATGGAAGAATTTCTGCTGGGACAACTGAAAGAAACTCGCTTTTACGTTACGCGAGGGGCGTCAAGGTGGTTGAGGCCTACGCAGATGCAAGTTTTGCAGCAGGTGAAAACGAGAAGAGCCATTCTGGCGCTGTGGTGGTATGGCGCGATAATCCCGTAATATGGGCCACGCAGCGACAGTCAACGGTGGCTTTGAGTACAGCGGAAGCTGAATTACATGCGTCAACTGAGGGTGCAACAATGATTCAATCGTGCACTCCCATAATTGCTTCCTTGGTGGGAACTGGTGAAGAATCATTGCAAAAGGTGCTGTATACTGATTCGGTATCAACATGTTCAATTATTCAATACCCTGCTGGTAGCTGGAGAACCAGACATCTGAGAATTCGAGCGGCTGGTGTTAGGTCTCTGGTGGATCGTGGATATATGGTGATTGCACACCTTCGAGGAGAGTGTATACTTGCGGATCTGTTAACAAAATTGATGAGTGGGCAGGTGTATGATAACCTGAAGGCGCTTTGGGGTCTCCAAATGTTGGTTCAAGGAACCGACCTGAGAAAAGCTACTCCTGCTGTGGCGGTCATGATGGTGGCTGCATCCCTTCAAGGGATGGCGAAAACTCAGATAGAGGAGGAGACATTGGCGCCTGGTTTTTTCTGCTCGGAAGATGGGGTGTGTAGGGCCTCAAACACATCTACGGTGATAGTTCTGGCACAAGGTATTGAAATGGTTTTGAACAATCTCGATTTCGCTGTGGTGGCGACAATTTTACCCTGGGAGGTGGTCCGTTATGGTCTACAGCAACTTCGGCATTGGCTGTGGGGCCGGAAAGTGGTGGTCCTACGAGTGCCACTCTGTATACAACGGTGGGTGGGAACTGTATGCATGCGGTGACTGTGATGTTCTGCGTTATTCACAGCCCAGGGCCAGAACGCTTTGTAAGCGCTGCGTCAAAAAAGGTTTGTGTGGTGGACGCTGAATTCCTTGGTGAGGAACGGTTTACTGGAACGTAGACCTTATCCGTGTGAGGTGAAGAGATCCTCAACGGTAAAAATTCGGCCAATGTGCTGATAGTTCGTCCTGCACCCCCCCCCCCCGCCCCCTTCATTTGCAAACACAATGGTGACGGGTCTCGACAGGATTCCTGTGCTTTCATGCAAGTCCTCTTCGTGGGCTGATGTCCTATAGATCACAAAGCTTTGGGGGCAGGGAGGGGGGAGTTGGGGGCAGCCATCCCCAATTTCAAACAGAACGTCCGCGTGACGGGCTTGCAATGAAGTCATATGCTTTGCTGCGGGTCCTCTTCATGGCCTGATGTTCCTTACCTGAAAAAGCGGCGTGGGGAGACAATGCTGCTTCTGAGGGAGGCATGAACAAAACGACTAGAACGCGGGCTTGACGGCCAACGCCGACTTCTGAGGGCGACGCGAAACTGCGCGAAACGACGTACATTGAGACAGAGGTACCCCCCCCCCCCCCCCCACCTTACTGGACTGGGCATCACTGAAGGAGGCCCCATGGAGCCCTTAAGGAGCCCAAAAGGAGCCCGAGGGGCGGAAAGGCAGACTCATCGAGTGGGAGGAGCTTTCTCTCACATTTTCAGAGGATTCATGCTTCTGTCGGAATTCGTATTAGGTTTTTTTCTGCTGTGCTCGAACCTTTACAAATGCTCGCATGATGGGTCACAACAAGACTCAAAGGCCGCGTCTCTCTGATATTTTCAGAATTCGTCTCTCTTTCTCCTCGTTTCTGCCTGGCGGCCGTGGCCATGAGCTCGCGAGCTTAGAGCGCCCACCTTTCTTTCGACAAGAACGCTTGAGCAGGGTGAGAAGATCATGAGTGCGAGAGAGGGAGAGTCTGAAAAAGAGGGAGAGGTGAAAGAGGGAGAAGAAAACAGAGCGCGACGGACTTTTTAAAAAAGAGTCCTTCTCCTCTCGTTTGCCTCGACTCAAAGGCTCAGAACAGCTCCATGAGCTCCCCTTGGGGCGCCGTGCGCTCCAACTCCCCAAAGCCGAGGCCGAGGTGGCCAGGTACCTCTCAGAAGGCAACGGCAACGAGAGCAAGGAAAAGAGAAGGCAAGAGAGAGAGAGAGAGGGAGAGAGGGAGAGAGGGAGAGAAGAAAATTAAAAAAAACGTAAGAGTAAGAATATGCGAGCAAGAGTAGGAGGACGGCGAAAAGCGCAACTTGTGAAAGCTCTCAACAAGCTCTGACAAGCTTCTCTTTGCACCTTCTTGCTTGGGCTCTCACTCTTTTGCTAGTCGCTCTTCTTTACAAGCAGCAGCGGAAAAAGAAAAAGAACAGGTGGAAAAGAGCGAGGCGGAGGGTGCACTTCCGCCCGATTCTCGTAGACCCAGCCGATCTCCGCAATGAACCGGGCCAAGGAAGGATCCCGCTCCAGGATCCCTGCGCGCGGCCGCAGGTGCCGCAGGTGCAGAGGGAGTGCAGGTGCACTCCCGAGTGCAGAGGGAGCTCTGCAGCCGAAGGAGAGAAGGCTATCTCCTTTCATCTCTCCTTTCATCTCTCCTTTCATCTCTTTCTCTCTGTACAGAAAACACGGCCAGTGACGGCCCTCAGCGCCTGTCGCTTCTGCTTGGGCCTCTCGAGATCGCCCGGAGGACGGAGGGCCGTGGTACATGGCCCCGCGCGAACAATCTGCGGGGAGAGCCTCGGCCAGTGCTTCCGGGCCGCGCATCCCATCCAGCCTTCAGTGCTGAGCAAACCAAAGCAAAAAGGGCAAACTTGAGCAAACAGCATCTGATTACTTCTTGCTCGCGTTGCTGAATATTCTCCGCTTCATTTCCCTCTCGTCTTCACTTATCGTTTCAGAGTTTGTTCCGATGATTCGTGTGAATGATTTTTGTCAAAAGAGCGGAGTTCCTGTGGTTCTCTTTTTGAATGATTCTTTTTTAATGTTGGACCCTCTTTAATGTGTAGGGCCCCCCCCCCCCTCCCTGAACAGTCGAGGCGTGGATGGGATCCTGAAGAAAGGGCCCCGGGGTTTTATATGCTTCTAATAGGGAGGAGTTTAGATAGATTTAAATGGGATCCGTATGAATTTAAAAGGGAGCCGCGCGAATCGAAAAGGGGTCCGGGATGAGTTTATATGAATTGAAAAGGAATCCATAGGCTTTTTCCAAATTCGGCGCCTCCGGGCCGGGGCCCGGACATTAAAGAGGGCCCCGAAACAGTCCCATTATTGAGGGCCCGAGGGGGCCCCTGGACCACCCCCTTGCCGGATTGAACGAAACCAATTTTTCAAAAGGCTTCCTTAAAGGAAAATAATGGTTTCGGGCCGGTTGGAATTCAGGAGGTCGGCCTTTGAAATCCTAAGGCCCGGCTTTAAACTCATAAGGCCCGGCTTTAAGCCGGAGCCTCCGGGCCGAAACAAGCCCCAAATCCTAAGAAAAAAAATCGGATTTCGGGAACCGGTTGACTTTAAAGAGGACCCCGCAAACAGTCAGGGGGTCCGGAAGAATTCGGCCAAGTTGACAAGAAGGGGAGGCCCCTACTAAAGAGGGTCCAACATTAATTGCTACACATGGTCCAAGGATCCCTTCCCCCACCGGTGAGCATAAGCACCTGGAGTCCATGTTACGGAAGAGCTATCTCTTGGCTTGTGTGAGGCTTGTCCCAAACCTCAGTGGGAGCCCTGCAAGGACATGTTGGGAGTAGCAAGCCATAAGACCTAAACGGAGATGGTGGAGGCCTCTTCGTTGGGAAGCCCTGGTTCATGCGGAGAATATTCAGGGCGCAAAGCGCAAAAGGGTGGTGGAGATACCGTTCATCGTTGCCTAAGCAAAGGAGTGAGGTTCAACCTGTGCCCACATCAGAGCGATGTAATCTGACGTTCAACAACGCCGACGGTCGCTGCCTCCGTCAATGTGGCCCCGGCCCAAGGGACAGGGACCGCCACGAGGAAGGCCCGCGTGCCATGCCAAGCAGGGAAAGCAGCCTGATGAGCAACGCCAGCGCCGCGCGGAGCGCAGCCCTAACCCGCCCTGAGCCGCCCTGAGCCCATTGCCGCCCATTGCCGCCCATTGCCCTTCCGTGCGTTGGAGGAAAGCAGCGTTGAACCTCTCGAAAGCAGCCTGGGCCTTTGAGCCTTTGATAACATGCGTCTGTACCGTGCGCGCAAGAGCCATAGCCCCACTTGTGGGTCAAGCTCCCCCATCGCCTCGAAGGAGCTCACATTTGACCCGCTCATTGCTGTGGAACTCAATGTTGCTCGCGAGCAAAGCGGTAGATGGTCCCCCAGCGCCATCGGCTCACATGTTTGGGCTTGCATTCGGATGGCACACCGCCCTCCAATGTTCCAGCAAGCGCATTGGTGGCTTTTCTGAACCTTGCATGGGGCAAAAGACTCTGCCGGGCCTGCCCGTTTGGAGGCTAAGGTGGGCGCTCACAACTGTGCCACTCCGAGCCCAGCGGAGTGTTAGGCGGCGAGCGCTTCGCCAATACGCCTGCCACACAGTGGCCACCCAGATCACCCAACCACTGCCCAGTTTCTTCTGCCTTCCCCAGCAAGTCCGGGCCATGGAGGGCTTGTCTCAGGCACATCGACTGCGCCGTGGATTTGAGGCGCCAAGGACCCGGGATCACATCACACAACTCCACTTCAAGGCAGGTCAGCAGCAGAAAACAACCGGGGAGCTCTCATAGATTGGAAGAAAACACAACCTTCCGAATTCTCTTTGAATTCTGTGTTTCTTAAGTACTCTCTTTGTTGGATCCGTTTGGGCTCCAGGCCGCGCGGCGAGGCGCACGGCCAGCCGCACCTGGCGCCGCACCTCCGCTAACCGCACACAGCCAGCTCTCCGCTCTCACCGCTCTCACCGCTCTACCTGACTCTACCTCTGCAGTTGACGAGAGGAGATTAAGAAAGGACGTAATGAGGATGCGACAGAGAGGTGGACAGAGGGAGAAAGAAAGAAGGAAGGAAAGAAGGACAGAAGGACAGAAGGAAAGAAAGAACGAAAGAACGAAAGGAAGGAAGAAAGAAAGAAATAAAGACAGATGTAAAGAAGGAACGAAGGAACGAAGGAACGAAGGAACGAAGGGAGGAAGGGAGGAAGGGAGGAAGGGAGGAAGGGAGGAAGGGAGGAAGGGAGGAAGGGAAAGAAGGAAAGAAGGAAAGAAGGAAAGAAGGAAAGAAGGAAAGAAGGAAAGAAGGAAAGAAGGAAAGAAGGAAAGAAGGAAAGAAGGAAAGAAGGAAAGAAGGAAAGAAGGAAAGAAGGAAAGAAGGAAAGAAGGAAAGAAGGAAAGAAGCAAAGAAGGAAAGAAGGAAAGAAGGAAAGAAGGAAAGAAGGAAAGAAGGAAAGAAGGAAAGAAGGAAAGAAGGAAAGAAGGAAAGAAGGAAAGAAGGAAAGTAGGAAAGAAGGAAAGAAGGAAAGAAGGAAAGAAGGAAAGAAGGAAAGAAGGAAAGAAGGAAAGAAGGAAAGAAGGAAAGAAGGAAAGAAGGAAAGAAGGAAAGAAGGAAAGAAGGAAAGAAGGAAAGAAGGAAAGAAGGAAAGAAGGAAAGAACAAAGAAAGTCAAGACAGAGAGAAATTCGGAGAAACAAAAGCAATAACAACGGTGGAGAGGGGACCGCAGAGGGGAGTTCCATTGGCGCCTGCGTCTGCTGCGACTGGCATTCATCCACACCTGCAACAATAGGAGGCTCGCCATGGACTGAAAATTACACAAAAAGTGCTCTTCAAGCTCACGGGGCGCCTGAGCTGAAGAGCTCCTGCGCTCAAGCCCAACTCCATTCTCTTTTAATTGCTTCACGTTTTCCTTGTCGAAGCGGGCTCTGCTGTAACGGCGCAATTAGTCTCGCCTCTGCATCTCGGCGTCTCAGTGTCTGTGTGCGTGTCTCTCTATCTCACTCACGCTCTGTGTGTGTGTGTGTGTGCGCGTTTCGCCGGCGCACCTCACTTGCTATTGCCAAGATCAGTTGTGACTACTGAAATTGCTCGCCTGCCCCTACAACCAGCCATCGTCTGCGTCTACACAAGGATATCACCTGGAACCTCCTCCCGCCGGAAGGGGTCTGCAGAGACAAAATCACTTGCCCTACAAAACGCACCGGAAACAACAATTGAACCCAGTTTGCTCAAGAACCAGGCTAATTTCAGGTTCGTTGGACACATCCCCCAACCGTGGGAGTTGTAGCACCTGGGTCAGCACTTCGACCTTCCCCACTCAGATTTACGACGTTTCAGAGCATGTGCTGGAGCTTCGAATACGCTGCAATACGCTTTGGCGCTCCAGGGGACCCTATACCCCTGACGTCGACAAGGGTACTCGGGGGCAGTGTTGCTGGGTGCAGGTGACGTGCGCACGTCACCCAATAACTTCTGGGCCTCGCTAACAAACCTGAGAACATACCTGAACGACTTCTGTCCTGTACATGGTACATATTCAGATGGCGCCCCGATGGCCTGCACCCTTGCAGAAACTCGAAGCGTGGCACTTAGTGACTTTAGTACTTTATTTATATATTTATATTAATCTATATCCACTCAGAGGAGAGTCCTGGCCAAGCACCTCCGTGATCCTCTGCAGGCTGAAAGGCGTGATACTTAGCGTGTCACCGTCAGACCTAGTATTTTAAGACATCTCTTAAGACATAGTGGGGGAGTTGGGGGAGTGGGGGCAGTTGGGGGCAGTTGGGGGCAGTTGGGGGCAGTTGGGGCAGTTGGGGGCAGTGGGGGCAGTTTGGGGGCAGTTGGGGGGGGGGGGGGGGGGGGGGGGGAATTTGGGAGTTTGGGGAGGGCAGCCTGAGCCGACCGACGTAGGGTGCCAAAGCATCGGCTCCGAGCAGAACATCGAAGAAGACCTCTCCGCGGTTTTTTCTCAGAGGCAAAGAAGACATGGAAGAACAGCTGGAAGAACACGGGGATCAAAAACGATGACCACAACGCTTGAGAGAACAGCGAAACCGCGACCTCCTCTCTGAACGCACCAACTCTCGGCCTTGGCATCGATGAAGCCTTCACCCTTGCCGCCTTTGCCATGAAGGTCGTAGTCCCGACGTCTCTTCTTGTCAGAGAGGACCTGGTACCTCAGAGACGAGAGCATTCCGAAGAGAACCCACAGAATCAGAGATCCCTCTTTTCCTTCGCTTTCTCTTTCTCTTTAAAACTTTCCCTTTTTAATTCTCTTCCTCTCTCTGTCAGAGAGTCGGCATCCTCTTGATCTGAGAGCCCCGGGCGCTTCGGAGATGCTCTGGAAGCGCTCCTCTTCTTCTATTCAGGAAGAGAAAGGTAACTCAGGTAACAGCAAAGAGAGAGAACAGAACAGAGAGAACAGAGAGAACAGAGAGAACAGAGAGAACAGAGAGAACAGAGAGAACAGAGAGAACAGAGAGAACAGAGAGAACAGAGAGAACAGAGAGAACAGAGAGAACAGAGAGAACAGAGAGAACAGAGAGAACAGAGAGAGAGCAGCAAAGAGAATGGCTAACAGAAGCAAAAAGAGAGGAAATCGGAAAGCGAGGAAAGACCCAAGGGGAGCGCACATGAGAGAGGGAAATGGGGGGGTGGGGGGGTTTGTTTGACTTCGTGCCTTGGCATTCTCCTCCGAAGTCTTGTCCGGGTGACACTGCCTGCACTGTTGCACTGTTGAAACTTGTTGAAACATCTCCACGTTCTGCGTGAGTTCTGCGTGACAGAGCGACATATTGCTCTGCAACAAAGAGGCCTGGATCTCTGGAAGTATGCCCGCCGGATCTCTTGCTGCGAAGCATTGGTTGCCACGCCAAGCTGAGAGCAACAAAAAATCGGAGAGGCTGAAGAAGTGTAGGCACTCAGTAGGTACAGGATTCTAGAAGAGGACCTGAGGGCTGGATACAGTGGGCACAGTGGTACCGAATCACAAATCCCCGGCCACCCGGCGACGCGCCCTACCTGGTCGTAGTAGTCGGTGTCGGCCTCGGTGTCACTGCAAGTGCGCAGAGCGCAGCCACCACCATCCCCAACCATCCCCAACCATCCCCAAACCCCCCCCCCCCCACCGAACAAATCACACTTTTTCAACATGTCACTTTCAAAACAGTGTCTCGCCGACGACAAACACGCCGAGCAAGCCGAGCCGAGAGGATGGGACACCGGGGCTCTCTTCACGGGTCTCTGAATGGCTGGAGGCCAGCGGCTTTGCTGGGCGCTGGGTGGCTGGCCACGCGTGCGGGCCAAGGCCGCTCGGGCTCGCACCCAGGCTCGCCCGAATGCTCACCTAGGAATTTTAGTCATTGAGTGCTGTTTGGGGTCCAGATCCCCGGGGTTTAGATCCCCGGGGTTTGGTATGACCAAGGTGGCAAACAAAGACGTTTGAAGACAAAATGCAGACAAGAAAAGCCAAGGAAAGCCAAACAAAGACAAAAAAACAGAAATACGGACAACAGCTTTTTTGAGAATATTTTGTTCAGATTCCCGTTATACACATTTTGTTGACATCAAACATTGTTTATTTCCATGTTGATTGATTTGTATGCAACGTATATACATATAAACACACACACACACACACAAAAATCAGAAATGGACCCTGTCTGGATCGCTTGGGAGCATTGTTGTTGGGGTCATTTGCGATGTGGTGTTTAGATTGCGGGAAACGCATCATTTTACAACACGCGAGCCGTCATGTTGAGACACATCAGTTGGCGTGGCCCCTAGGTGTCAATCTTTCGCGCGGTACCTTCTTTGCCACGGACGTGAAAACGTTCTATGGCCCTATGGCCCGAATCTCGTTTTCAAGTTTGGCCGGTTGCGGTCCCTACCTTGCTTTGCGAAACATCTGTGGCCCTATGGCCCGCGTTCGCGTTTGGGTTTCAAGTTGAAGGTTTTCCAGGACATATGGGTTTCAAGTTTAAGGTTTTCCCAGGTCTGCTTGCTCTGCGAGAAGGTTCTGTGGCCCGGGTCTGGGCTTCAAAATTAAGTTTTTCCAGGGTCTGCTTGCTCTGCGAAAAGGCTCTATGGCCCGAATCTGGGTTTCAAGTTTAGGGTTTTCCCAGGTCTGCTTGCTTTGCGAAAACGTTCTATGGCCCTGTTGCAACTGATAAAAATGATGGGTTGAGCGGCGTTGCCTAAAGCTGAGCTTGTGTCTTGGGTGTGCTTTGCATCTCGTTTCCAAACTCGAACTGCAGGCACACTTCAACGCAAGCGTGCCCGACCGAATAAACAAGTGAGACAGGGTCTAGCACCAGACCGTGGCAGACCTTCTTGTATGAAGTGTTGACCATGACCTGTCCCACCGCTGGACTCAGATTGGCTTCGCATACGACCGCCGTCTTGAGTTTGTTGCTTACGATGGATGGACTGCACGTGCTTGCTTGATTCTGTTTGCATGTTCTCTGAGAAAGCCTCGCCGGGCATCCCAACTCGAAATTCTTGGAAGGGCTTAGAACTGCTTATTCTGTGTGGTTTCTGCCATGTCGATGCCAGTGACACTCGGAGACCACAGAAAACAGAGAAACTACGTACACAAACCATCGAAACCATGGAGAACAAGGAAGAATGGACATTTAGTGACACCAATGAGCAAGTGGCAAAAAACCCAGAGGAAACATGGGCGCCATACAAATCACGGAAACCGTGCGGCATCAATGAATTCAATGTACACACGACTTTGCGGGTTTAGGCTTGACAGAGCTTCTCTCAGTCCTGTGTTGCAGCGCTCGAAACAAACGCTCAGAAGTCAGAATTCGCAGGAGATCGGCGCAGTCAGGCGAGAGTGACGAGAGTGAGGAGAGTGACGAGAGTGATCTGAGAGTGACGAGAGTGACGGAGTGATGTGCAGCATGTGAGGCGAGAGGTGCATGCCAGCGCGAGCATGTTGAAGGAGCAGGCAGGAATGTGCAATCAGGAGCTTTGGTCAATGTCTTGGGTTGTCAACTGAGTGACGTAGAACTCGGGATGATTGTCAACTGGCCGAAGCGCCGAAAGCGCCGAAAGGCCGAAGGAGTCATGTGCAATCATCTCATCACTGAGGCAGGACAGTTTTTGCCAGGCGCCGCCCGACCCTAGGCCTGAGTTCGTCAGGTGCTCCTCGGCGGAACTAATCTAAATCAAAGAATGGGGGTGCCCGACTGACCCTCCTCCCGCCTGATGCCCCGGTTCTCTGCCCCCCGGCTCTCTGTTCATTCGTAATTACAGCAGACACATGTAGAACGCATGTAAAAACATGTAGACACAACAGCTTTCACCCCCATCCTAACACCTTTAGGCAAACTTCAGTGACCGTGTGTTCGGTGACGCTTGTGAGCAGAACATCTGCAATTTTGTGCTCAGAACGTGCGCACTGCGCGCCCTTCGAGACATGCTGCCGAACATCAAGGTCGGTCGCTTGCAGAATCTGATTCAAGTCAGGGCATCCGGCCTTCCACGTCGTCAGAAAGCACTTCTGCTGCTTCCTCCGCAAGGGAATAGGCCTCCCCGAACAGCGAAAACGCGACACAGCTGACAACCGAACAGAGACAGAACGAGATGAACGAAACTTAAAAAAATAACAGGAAGAGGGAAAGAGCACCTGAGAGCGAGAGCACGTCAAAGGAATACACTCACGTTGATCCTGATTAGTGTTGTCTGGAAACAACCCTACCGGCTGCACGCTCGTCATTTTTGCGCAGCACGCTTGACCCAGAACTTGAGGTGTCTGAGGAGAAGATTCGGGCGCATCACTGGCAGCAGGGGCAGAAACTGCCTTGGCAGCTACCTTTGCATCGGCTTTATCCGTTGCTTGATATTCATCTTGATGCTCCAGGGACTCAATGTCCCCCACCCCTCTCAAAACCCCAGTCCTGCGTCGCCGGGCCTTCGCATGCAGTGATTGGGTGAGCTGACCAGTTCCACTCACTCGCGATGTAAAGTGAAAACGCTGCTGCATGTATCGCGTCCGCAGCACGCTGAATTCAACATATTGCGTTGCGCGAACGCCCTGAAAGCGGCCTAAGCCTGAGGGCTTTGGCGGGCCTGGTTTAGACGTGGTGGAGCCCGTCAATCCCCTGCGCCGGGTCCCCCTGTACGCAGCACACCGCGGACAGACCCCGCCACTTTATGCCGGGTTCACGCGAACGCAGCATCGCAACAATGGGGGCCCGTTCAGCTGCCAGCTCGGCCGGCGTAAGGCTCTCAGTGTCCGCGCACGGCCACGCGCAGGTTGCGCACGAACCTCACACCCAGGACTGCACGACGAGGCCGCTGCCAGTGGCTCCTGCGATGCAGCAGTCAAGGTTTCCGGCCTTTGGCCTTCTGGTCAAAGCCTTCACGGGCCGTCAAACTCACGCCATGACTTCGCGTTGGGCTGTCCAAGCGGCAAGCCGTAGTCAGTCTTGCCAGAGCGAGCGGTTGCCCTTGCTCCAGCGCAGGAGTCGGTCCATGGCGTAAGCAGTGACAGCTTGGACTTCGGCAAGCCTGGGCAGAGCGGGGCTCCGCATGATAGGTTGAGCCCCTAAACTCAACATCGTTAACAGCCCTGAGCCTGGAGCCAAGCAGAAGGAACCGGGCCCTGACGAGAGATCCGCTGCCCACCAGATGGCTGTCAATGTGAGTTTTCACGCTGTTGACGGTCCCATTGACTGTGGCCCAACCACGACCCCGGTTGTGACCAGTTTCACTTTTGGGGCACCCTGCCACCGGGCAGAAAACCCGACCATCAATGGCGGCACCACTTGCATGGCGCCACGGCCGTTTTCGGCACGTGGTTTGGATGGCTTCTCGAACTCCCTCAGCCAGCGGATAGAAGGTCGGCTAGCAGTTGGGATTGTTTCATATAATCTCCCACGGATTTCAGCGGTCATTACGCCCCACACGTAGACTCTGACTCCATTCTTGAAAGGCGTTCAGTGTCGACAGTCCCATTGTTCGCTTTGCCGCGCGGGTAACGGACTCGAAGTCCTGCTGCTCCATCCACGCCTTTCCACGGGAACTCTGTGTTCGCTTCGTCGCATCCGTCTGACAATCAGCCAAGAAAATTTGAGGAACCTGAGTGTCGGGCGCCTGTCCAACCGGTGTGTGGCCTATGTTGCTGGCAGAACGGGGGGGCCACGAGTCAGAAACACCGAGTCGGAAATGTCCCGAGGCCAGTCGGAAAACGCATCGCTCAGTTAGAGAAACCCCCTGAGTCGGAAATCAGGATGAGGCGAGTCCGAGAAACGACCGGAAATTTCAGGTTAATTCTCTACTCTTGAATAATTCTCTACTCTTGAAACACAAGAAAGAAACCAAGAAACAAGAAGGGTGGAATTTAGACTCTACTCCCCTGATATTCGAATCATGAACATTAACAAAAAAGAAACGAGAGGGGGGTGGAATTTACAATGATTCTCTACTCCTGCGGCCCCCCCCACCCCGCTTCTTGATTACATCAGAAAAAAGAAATTGTTGTCATTTGGATTGTACTGTAAATTTCTATCAATTCGAATGAAACAAAACCTAGAAACGGGGGGGGTGGAATTGACACTCATTCTCTACTTCTCTACGCATTCTCTATTTTTCGAATAATGAACACAAAAGACAAAACAAGGCGGTGGAATTTAGAAGAATTCTCCACCCCTCTGATATTCGACAAGCAAATGGGGGGAGGGGGGTGCGGCACCCCCATCCCCCCCACCCCCACCCCCCCCCCCCCCCCTCCCCACCCCCCCCCCCCCCCCGTTCCCCCCCCCCCCCTAATCTCCCCCCCCACCCCTCCCTCCCCCCACCCGGCGCCCCCCCGTAAGATGCACCCCTTACGTTTCCCTACCCCACCACCCCCCTCTCCCGCAACCCCCCCACCACCCCCCCCCCCCCCACCCACCCCCCCCACACTCCCCCCTCCTCCCCCCCCTCCCCCCCAACCCCCCCAATCCCCCCCCCCCACCCCCCACCCCCCCCACCCCCCGCCCGGTTTTTGCTTACGTCAGAAAAGACTTTGTTGTCACTTGGATCATACTGTAAATTTCTAGCCATTCTCTACTTCTCTGATTTTCGAAGAATGAATACAAGAA